ATTACAAATATACTAGGAAGAATGAACGAAGGAAAATTTGTGAAGTATTTTTTATTTAGATCCATAATAAAGAGAATTTTGAGATTTGTTTAATTACTATGCTTTTATAGAGAACTTACAAGAAGCCTTACCTTTTAAAATTAGTACATGTTTATTCCACATATTTATAATTAAAAATACTTTTTATTTAAACTTCTGACCCAACAAAACGGCAAAAATGGATGAAAATAGTCAAGAGGTACAATATGCAGTGGCGGATCCAGGATAATAAGTCAGCTAGGGAGGTTGCCGATGGCGGTAATAATAAGTTTTTTTATTAATATTTAATTAAGTAATGTTAAAAAAATTTCAATCAATATATAAATGCACAAAAATGTGAAAAAATCATATACATATGAAAATATAATCAAATACAATATAAAATAATAAGAAAAAAATACATTTTCCAATCGTACATGTACGATCAAGTTTCAAGTTTTTTACGAACTCAAACGAAATAGTTTTACATAAAACATGATTAAATGATAAAGATTAGTTCCGAGTTCGGGCGAATGATTTTTAAAATCAAAACTATTTTTGACCTCAAAAGAAAAAAAATATTTTCCCAACTTTTAAAAGAATAAAGAACAAAACTTAGATTGTCCAAATTTGATATATATATATATATCATAGAGTAATAATTTGAGTCAATAAATTTTTAGAAAAAATTATTTCAAAAACGAAAACTAATAATATATAATTGTTTAGTTATTATTTATTAAATTAAAAATTTAAACAAAAAGTAGAATAGCAAAGAATTGAACCCCATACATTCATTGTACAAAATAGTCCTTTTACCATATGAGCTACATTTCTTTTGTAGAATATTAGTACAATTATTAATTAATATTTATTTACTATTCACCGTATTTAAAAATTGAAAGTCACTGAAGGGAATCCAACTCATACATCCTATTGCACAAAATGGTCCTTCTACCACATGAGCTAAACTTCATTAAATAAAAGCTAATACAATTTTTAATTATTATTTAATGTGTTTATAAATTAAAATAGATAACGTTGCTGAAGGGAATTGAACCCAAGAATCTCATGTGGAAAGGTGCTTCTCTTCCAAATGATCTACACACGATTTTCGTAAAAAATGTACAATAACACACACACACGCATATAATTATTTTTTTTATAAATCTTAATTAATTTTTTCCCCAGCAAACCTAGCACGGGCTGCTGCCCCAGCTCGCCGGGTGCTAGATCCGCCCATGTCTCCACTGTGTTACGATTGTATGAGAATGAGGGCACGCGACAGATTTTTCATCTACCTCACCTTCCAACTTCGATTTCCATTATTCACAGATTTTTTGGGTGTTGTGTGGGTGGCGTGGATGTGTGTAGGATGTAGGGATGGAGTGCACCTAATTGTTGAAAGAAAAATCTTTGCACCCAATTATTGAAATGGAAATTTGAAAAGTAGGTGTGTGTGTGTGTAATATTCTCTTTTTCTTATTATTTTTTTTAAGTTCTTCTCTATTTAGTTATAAATAAAAGACTTTTTTATTAGAATAAAAGACTTTTATTTAATTAATTTTTTTTATCAATGAAGCAAAATTACTAATATTGTACTCATTTTTTTATGATGATAACGATGATTACTATTAATTAAATATTTATATCATTTAAAATTTTCTTCATACAAAATAAAACTTGTGATTTAACTCCAAGGTTCTAAAAGGCACAAGCGTGATAAGGCGTGGAAGTTAAATTAGAAGCCTTACAAACATAAGCATGCCTAACCGTGATAAAGTGTTTTATTATTCTTCTTCTTAATATAAATTACGTATTCTAGATCAATAAATAAAATAATATACTTCAAAAATTTATAAGGACCCCATTAATATTTTTCAGGTTTTCAAAAAAAAACATAATACTCAATGTTATAAATATTCTATATAATTAATACTTGTTTTTGTGAAGAGAGACATATGTTCGTGGTCTGGGTTTGGGCTATGAAGTGTTTTTTTTGGAACTTATTCCTTTCCAAGTTTTAACAATTGTACATTTTATATTTTTATTTTTTTGCTAGATTTCAAAACAAAAAAAATACCATTTGTCAAATAAAAGACGCGTGCCTAGGCATGCTCCACGTGTTCTTTTCAGAGTGTACAAGGTTCATATGGTCTGCTCATTTTGACATCTCTATATGGATAGAATGTTCAAAATGTTGATTTCTTTATTGTTAATGTTCATTTGATGTTTACACTTTAAAAGCCATCTAAGTTACGGGTGGCTCAACTCTTATAATTTAGTTATCTATCTATAACCAATATTGAATTTATCCGTTAACATGCAACGTAAAATGGTTGCTTGTTTGAATTTTCAAATCTTGAAATTTGGTTGCTTGCTTGTACTTTAACAGATAAAGTAGTACGTTTAAGTTTGTTGAATTTAATATGATGTGAAGTTTTGCGATCCATCATAAAAGGTCAATCTCAATCTCATGGGTCAAGTCGTCCTGTAATTAGAATGGCCCGACCCACCTTTAGAAGTGCATGTTAAGCTATTCTAGAGAAATATCATTAAAAATCTTGAAAAATCCTTAAAATTATTATTATTGTTGAATGGTAGATACATCATAATAATAGACTCTACCTAGGTCATTTGTCATCTAGAAGAAAATTTGAAAAAATATTTCAAATGTAACACTTTTAGTCAAAATTTCACCAACTCCTCATTGACTCAAAACAATCCCACTAAAAAGAAGTTAATTAATTATAATCAAACTTGTTTTTTTTTTTTAAAAAAAAAAGGCGGCTGTGTCACCTTCCTATTGGTTGGAAGTTAGAAATGTCAAAATGAAAGAAATAATAATATTATTATATTATAATTATTTCCTTTTATTTGGTATCCTATGTGCTTTTTGTGGGGCTCTAATAATCAAATATAAATGTATTACTAGTAGGAGAATAGTAATAATATAATACTATCTAGAACAACTATAATAAAGGAAATATTTATTTATTTTTTCTAATTCTTGCTATTTTCACTGCAAAATTCAATATAGTTCATATTAAAAACCACAATAATATACACATTATTTTTGAATTCAAATACATCATCATCGTCGTCGTCGTCGTCATGATCATGATCATCATCATCAAATTAGTGCTGTCATAATTTTAGGAATAATTTCATCATTGGTCCTTAGCCTATTTCTCTAATAGCAAATGAGTCATCAAACTTTGAAGTATAACGATTTGATATTCAATATTTACATTACAGTTGCACAATCAATATTCAGTTTCAGAATGTGTTAAACCGTCACATAATTCTATTATTCTAACTTTAGAAAATGAGTATTTGCTCCACAACTTTGTTCAATATCCATAAATTTGAGAGAGATGATTTCTTGCGACTCACGTGATAATTGATTGTGAATTTGGATGGTTTTTCTTTAGTTATTGATGGTATAAGGATAGCAAAATATATCGATCTCACCTGACCATGGTCCTCGGCCAGAACCAGTCCAAAAAAATTTCTTCATTTCTTTTTATATTTTTAAATTTAAATCATACTTCAAAAAATACTAGAAAATAAATAAATTAATAAGTCGATAATTGGGACATTTTAATCCTCATTTCCATCCCGCCTCTTTAAAATCACAATAGATTGAATGAGGGGCGACGAGGGCTGCCCCACGCCGTTGTTATCCTAATGGTGCAACTATAAAGACCAAATTACTATTGAGAATAAATTGAGGACCAGTTGTGAAATTTTTCCAAGTTTTTATTATTTCCAAAGTCTTATAACAGATAAATCCGAATTTATGGGTGGACTTCAAGATCTTCTATCCGCCACAATAACCTAATTCCATATTTCATTTTCTCCTCAAACTATACATTTACCAATATACCCTCGCAGAACCAATGGATGTTGGATAAAAATTTATTTTATTCTAGGCAACTATATTTTACTCTGATTTCAATCAGATAATCGTACTTCAATTTTGTTCATATTATTTTAATCAAGGAAGTTCTTTAACCTCTGTTAATTTGACTAACGAAATCAAAACAAACTAAGCCCATGTTTGACTTTCATTAAAATAAAATTCTTTATTTCTCATACTCATTTTTAATTACATTCACGCAATAAAATATTTTGCACGTAAATTCAAATTTTTTTTTCTAATTTTTAATCACACATTCTAAAAAAAAAAATCATTATTCAAAATATCTTTTTTTTCTTAATTTCTCTCTATTATAACGATCAAACAGGGGTTATAATTACCTCGAATTAAAAAATAAAAAATTGAAGTAAGTTACCCCGATTGAAAGTAAATCAAACTATAGCTACTTCGAATTGAATTAACATTTTGCCAACATCTAACGGACATGTAGGATAGTCTTCTTTGATTGACAACCATGTCATCAAAATTCATTACTAACAGAATAGGACGGAGTTATCCTAAATGAAATGAAATTAAAATTTAATTATTTATAGTTATCTAATTGAAATAAAACCAGACCAACGTATAATTGAACCTCAATTATTGGCAAATGTATGATGCTAAATGTACATTCTATTGTGTACATCTTTGTGTATATATTTCAAAAAGTCTTGCTCGAGAAAGTGTGTTTTTTTAAAATTGTCCAATCATGTATCGTCATGCGACACATTTTTAAAATGATGTGCATGTAGGATGCAAATTCGTTACATATCTCAAGGGTGTTATTGTAACTTCATTTCTCCTTACTTTTGTTCTTGTCCGTGAGTGGCAGCTTTTTTCAGAAAATAAAGAGAAAAATAAAAAGATAAAGACATATATTTTCAGATATTTTCAAATGATTAAATCCAACTAAACAATAAAATCCCCAATTTCATCATCTGTTAATCTTCCACTATATTTTTCTGCACCTACCCATCTCGATTCTAGAAGAACAGAAGGACTTCATTTTTTGATCAATGTTTTTCCACAAATGAAATGCCATTTTTTTTGGTTCATCAAAATGCCTCCAAGCCCTTTTCTTGTTCTTTCCATTTATTTATTGAATTTCCTCATTTTATCTGCTTCAAAACCACTAACAAAACCCATAATTTCAAGCCCTAACTCAACTCATTTTTCCAAGAAAATTGAGGGGTTTGCAGAATCCACAAGAAATAGCATAAAGTTGGAATCTTTACAAAGATCTCAGGTGATTCTTAGTGGAAACAAAACTATTTTTAGTGAAAACAGAACTTTTCAGCTGGGATTTTTCACCCGAGGTCGTAATGTTAGATGTTACTTGGGCATTGGGTATGCTTCAATCCCAACTCCCACGTATGTTTGGGTTGCAAACCGTGAAAACCCCATCAAGAATTTGTCATCAGCAACTGCGGAAATCAGTGAAAATGGAAAATTAGTTGTAGTGGATCAAGATTCAAGAACCATTTTGTGGGAAACAAGCAACGTGGAAAAAGCAAGTGATTTGAAGCTTTTAGAGCAGGGAAATTTAGTGTTGTTAAATGAAGGGAAAATTGTTTGGCAAAGCTTTGATTTTCCTACTGACACGTGGCTGCCTGGGATGAACTTGACAACTAAACAATGGCTGACTTCTTGGAAGAGTTCAAGTGATCCAGCTCCAGGAAGGTATTCTGTGAGGTTGAACCCACCTTATTATGGTGAGATTGCTCTTGTTTATAGCAATGTTAGTGTTGGTAATAGCGATTCTAATTCATATACTTATTGGACTACTGGTAAATGGAATGGAAATTCATTTGATGGGGTGCCTGAAATGACAATTCCTTATATATATAAATTCGAGTTCGTTAATCCTTTTACTCCCATGGCAGTTTTTGGGTACACTGAGGTATCAATAGATAAGGGTGTGAAACCTCCCTTAACAAGGTTCGTTGTGGACCATACGGGGCAGCTGAAGCAGTTCACTTGGTCGTTCCAGACCGAGTATTGGAACATGTTTTGGTCACAGCCTGAGAATCCGTGTAGAGTATATGGATTATGTGGTAATTTGGGGCTTTGCAGCGGTGGGCCGTCAAGTCCTTGTAAGTGCTTGAATGGATTTAGGCCGGTTAATGATGTTTCGTGGAATGAGAGTGATTTTTCGGAGGGTTGTCACCTGGAAGGTGATGGGACTTGTGGTGAGAATAAGGGGTTCAAGGAAGTAGGAGTGGTAAGTTACGAGGGGCCAAAAGTCGTGTCATTTAGTGCTAGTAGGAGTAAGTGTGAAAGCGAATGTTTGAGTAATTGTTCGTGTGTTGGTTTGCTACACAACGTGAGGAGTAATTTATGCAAGAATCTATATGGGTCTCTTTTTAACATATGGAATCTTACTTTGGATAGCACTATTGATGATAAGTTATATGTGAAGGTGCAAAGAAATAGCACTGGCAAAAAGAACAAGAAGAAGATGGCTGTTTTCATTGGAATGATTTGTGGGATTCTCGTGATTCTGAGTGTCGGAACTATAAATCTATTGTACTTGAGGAGGAGAAAGATTAAGAGAAGAAAGGGGGATGATGATGGTGTTTTTCCTGTAACAAATCTGAGGGTGTTTTCTTACAAGGAGCTTCATGCTGTTACTGGGGGATTTTCTGAGAAGCTCGGACATGGAGGATTTGGGGCGGTATTTCGTGGGGAATTATCCGATTCTTCACTAGTGGCTGTGAAAAGACTTGAAAGACCTGGTGGTGGGGAGAAGGAATTTCGAGCAGAGGTTTGTACTATTGGAAATATTCAGCATGTCAATCTGGTTAGACTAAGAGGGTTTTGTTCTGAAGATTCTCATAGGCTTTTGGTTTATGATTACATGCCGAATGGACCTCTTAGTGTTTACCTAAGACGGGATGGTCAGAATCTGAGTTGGGATGTCAGATTTCGAGTTGCTGTAGGGACAGCTAGAGGCATTGCTTATTTACACGAGGAGTGTCGAAACTGCATCATACATTGCGACATAAAGCCCGAGAACATTTTGTTGGACGAAAATTTCTTAGCTAAGATATCTGATTTTGGCCTAGCAAAGCTCATTGGGAGGGACTACAGCCGGGTTCTAGCAACCATGAGGGGTACGTGGGGATATGTTGCACCTGAGTGGATCTCTGGTGTGGCAATTACCACAAAAGCTGACGTGTATAGCTATGGGATGACATTATTGGAATTGTTAGGTGGCCGCCGTAATGTGGAGGGACCACCTTCGGCCGGTGGAGGTGGAAGTGGAGATAGTGGTACTGAGAAATGGTTCTTTCCACCCTGGGCAGCCCGCCAGTTAATTGCTGGCAATGTGACAGCTGTGGTCGATGAGCGGCTCAGTAGCACATATGACAAAGCAGAGGCAGAGCGCGTAGGACTGGTGGCTGTATGGTGCATTCAAGATGATGAATCAATGAGGCCTACTATGGGGATGGTGGTGAAAATGCTGGAAGGTGTAGTCGAGGTGGCTGTTCCGCCACCGCCAAAGCTGATTCAAGCATTAGTTTCCGGTGACTCGTTCAGAGGGGTCGGCGATAGGGTATCTCACAGGGATGCACCGGGAAGTTCTGATGATAATGTCCTAACTTCCATAGATCTCAAGGATTCTCAATCATCTTTATAACTTTTCTTTCTTAGCTGATCCATGTCAAAGTGACAAAATTAGAAGAGGCGAATTGGCTCTTTTTCTTTTTGCAACATGTAGAAATTCAATGTTGCTTTGCAGCCACTTTTTCTTTATGTAAATCAACTGAAGATGTGAATTAATGGATCAACTCTACTTGGATGAAATTTAACTAATTTTTTTTGAAGGTTCAAAAATTGTTTAGACCCACATGCGGAATTATACAATTAAAAGTAACAATTCAGTTTTTGATTGTTTCTAGATGATTAAGTTAATTAATCCAATTTCACCCTATGTTTGAATTTCACAATAAATCAAAAGAAATAAATAAATAAGAATACCAAAGATAATCATGGAGAAAAACCCTTCGCAAAGGATTAAAAAATTTCGGGCCCAATCCAGTAAAATTTGCTACAGACAAATTAACTTACAGTATAGTCCAAACTCAACTAACCCTTAATACTTTCTGACTTACTTCATGTAATCACAAAGGCCCTCCTAGACTACGTGCTCCTGCACCCCCTTCCGACCTTCTGAAATTGTGGATCACCAAGAATCTCTCGTTCTTGTCCTACCGAAACTCCAATTTCCTTACTCGATCTTCAAAACTCTAACAGATTATACGGAAATGGGTGGTTTGGTATTTGATCGTTAGATCTATTTGTGTTTTGATCTTGGGTTGAATATAGAATGTTATGGCTCGATCAACAAACTATGCGTTGGACGAATTTATGAATCAACAAAGGAGTTGAATTAAGAAAACTTTGAATGTATTGTTTGATATTCAATAACGTGTTCTCAATAATGAAAGAATGATTCAACACCCTTTTGGATGTTCATGGGGTTGGATATATATAAGTGGATAATGTTTGGGATGAAAAGGAATTAAAAAATTAGTTTTTTACGCAAATAGGGATTTTAGGAATGTGAATCGCCACACGAGCGCAAAGCGAGCCATGAGCTTGCCACTCGAGCACCAGTTTAGCGCTAGGCCGACTGCACGGTCACTTCTTTTTCCGCTCGAGCCAAGCTGAACGGTAGACAGGGGAGGAGGCCCATTAGGTCCAGTGCGAACTTTTGGGCCATAATTTTTTTTTTGGGCCAATTTTTTTTTTTTTTTAAAATTAACCCATG